TTAAAGTTCTTCCTACTCTGGTCATATCCAGAGCATATACTCCAGTCAGCAATACACTGCATAAGAACTGTTGACCACCAGGCCTCCCTTCTACGATTTCCAAAACAAAAGTCAGATAGAACTAAACTAATTTTACCCTACCACCCTCATTCGGATTTAGCTAAAAATATTATAAAAATTATTCTATCCTTAAGTCCGACCCCCATTTAGGCCATTTATTTCAAAAGAATCCTTTGGTGGTGTTTAGAAGGGAACGCAATCTTAGAGACCTTTTAGTCCGGAGCCGACAGCCACTAACTATCACCACAAGTTTAGGCACTACTTCTTGTTCCCGCAACTGCAACACGTGTCATTTCACCCGTCAGGTTGAATCACTTCAGCTGCCTATGGGAACCCTCCAAATAAAAAATCAATTCAACTGTGAATCCCGTAATGTAGTTTATGTCATCCAGTGTAGGCGATGCAATATCTTTTAAATTGGACAAACGGGGAAACGATTGTCTGACAGTGTTAGCCAACACCTGCGGTCAATAAACAATGAAGATAGTTTTCCTGTGGCCAAACACTTTAACAAGAGTGGGCATGACATAAAAAACGACTTTAGTGTAACCGCTGTTCAGTTTTGCCATATTTTTAAAAACCGCCTACACACTGAACCGCGACTTATACTTAAGTTTGGCACACAGTCACCAGATGGTTTGAATGAACAGGTATCTTTCACCTAACAAAGCCCCAACAGCCCCCCCTCCAACCACACCCTATTAGGTGTCCAAGCGTCCTTTACGCGTCTTTTCTTTTGGGTATCATGGCCTTTAGACAAGACGTGTTTTCACTGTCGAGCTAAGTCCAAAACTGTGTTACTGTTTGTCTTTTGTCTAATCTGTAACCACACTGTTGTGTGCTGACGAAGTCCTTGGGTCGAAACGTCCATAGTATTTATAACTGTCTTTAACTTGTAAGGTAACTAATCTGTTTTATTACTTATTTTATTAACCTCAGTGCAGCTACCATTAGTATTACTAATTAGATAGATGATACTTGTAAATATTGTAAGTTAACTAGGAAATGGCAACGTGTGCCAAAGGGAGATAATAGTTATTCCCTGCCTTTTTTTTTCAATTAGATTTATTTTCTCCTTTAGTAATTTTTTTTAAAAAAAAATTAGAACAAACTGAGTCAAAATCAGAATGACGGAAAAAATTACTTTTTTAGCTGAAAAAATGTTTTAATTTCGCAAGGGCGGCGCCCCTTGGAAGAATGTGATTCTTCTCTATATACGATAAATTTAAAAAAAAAATAAAGTCAGATGCGGTTTGACACCATTTATCATAAAAATTTAGGGAGTTGATGAATACTCCCGAGATGGTTTCTCCGGGGGGGGGGGGGGGGGGGATTTAATTGTGTACTGGCGGACCCAGAAGGATGGGATTGGCGCCCTGGTCTTTCCCGTGAGCACTATGGCAACTACGTTCATTCTAAACAGTATGATAGACAATGGATAAGACGGGCGTTACAGTCGCTCACTAAATTGAATCAGGCCTGTCCGCCGGCGCCATGGTAGGGTGCGATTTGGCTACGAACAAAAATTTCAGTTTCAGCCCCCAAAGGCTCACATGGGCTGCTGAGGGCCCTGTAATACATTTTTTAAAATAATCACATAAATTAACTAGGTTGTTAAAAAAAATTCCAAACAGTTTCGCCACTTTGCGAATGATGCAATTAGCATCTAATTTTAGACGATCCAATCAGAAATTGAGATCGAGCTTTTATAAATACATCATTAGTAATGCTAACAAATCACATCAGTCACACTGATGTTTATAACACGTCAAAAACATTTTTTTTAGTGTTAAAGAAAAAACCCTGTTGATTTGTTTAATGTTAGCGAATGACACAATCGGAATCATTGTTTCAGGGTGCTATGTGGCGCTCTGGGTTATCCTGGGACTCCCAAGAGCGCTGCTTTACGTCCCTGACATATGGGCGGTTACTGAAGTGTGTTCTACCTCATTATTTCGGTGAGTGATTAACGAACACTCAAGGTTTTCATGCGGTAGTGTAGTTAAACCTGTGTCCCGACATTTATGGTCCTAGCGCAGGCATTGTTTACATTTAAATAAATCAGTTTTAGAAAACAAGGTCACGCGTCTAAGAATATAGGATTTGTAACGCATTGATGAAACACTTCTTATATATTTCATCAGACTTTCTTCTAGTATATAATATAAGCTACTAACGTCTTCAGCATAGTTAAGTATATGACCAAGGCTATTCCCAGCCGTTGGGAATAGCCGTGTTGGGCTATTCCCAGCCAACTGCAAATAGCCCCAATATGGTTATTCATAGTTGGCTAAATTTCATGCTAAATACAACTGGGCATTTATAGTGACTGGGGAGTTAGGTATGGATTAAGAGAGAAGTGCTATTTTTTATTGTTATATTTTCATTAAAAAAAATTATTATGGTTTAAATTTAGTTTAGCTTTTAGTTTTAGGCTCATATCAGACATGTCTGTGACGGAAGTTGTAGATGATCAATTATGCACTCTAATTAAATCTAAACTAGATTAATCTATATATATAATTCTCTTCTGGGAGCCGTTAGAAAACAAGCTGCAAGAGCCTCCTTGCAGTCCCCTCTCTTTCTCTCTATCACTATCACCCCCACATTGTCTGGCGTGAGCTGTGGTCATGCTAAATGTTTACAAATCGTAGAGCCGTAGATCCGGGTTTCTATTAGGGGCAGATAATTTAGTTCGATTTTAAACTTACAGGAGGTAACTAAGAAATAACTAAGAGGAGGCTGCTTTCACGGGGGGGGGGGGGGGGGGGGTGCAGGGTCGGGGTTAGGGGAAAGGGGGGGGGGGGGGGTTAGTGTTTTAAAGCAAATATTTTCAGTGGCAGCATTGGTACTGTCGAATTCACAAATTATGAATTACTGAAAAGTAGAAAATAAAACAACTAGGCCTAAATAGCGGCGTATGATGCGCTGCGGGTCGGCTCGTAGATCTAGTAATTTTTAAGAAAATATTATTTATGCATCACTTTAGTTAATTGTTCACATTGCTTTTCAACTATCAATTTAAAATTCACATAGAATAAATATCAGGTGAAATAGCGCTTCCTTTTTGATCAGCTATCATTCAGTTTCCATCACACTTTTCGCAAGTTTTTTTTCTTTTAGCAAAAATCTAAGGGACAGGTTTTTTTCCAGATAGGCCAGCAATTACGTGAAAAAGGAAAAAAAAATTTAATTTAACCTTTCATGAATAATTGGGGGGGGGGGAGGGGAAGGGGAGAGAAGAATTGTTAACAAGGGGCACACAACATTAAGTAGCATTACTCGCTTGCTAATGACAATATGCCGTCTGGACCGGACATATGACTTCCGATGATTTTTCTGCCAAATTCCAGTGACTTTCTGCTAAATTCTTTTAAAAATGTTTACCACGAGCAAAATGGCGGGGTTTTCACTACTAACTATAGGTGGCAGTCATGCGTCCGGTCAGGACGCCATGTTGTTGTTAGCAACCGACCACGCCTCCAAGTTAGCGAGTAATATTATTTAGTAGTCATGTTCAAATTGACAAATGAGTAGGCCTAAATTTTAGATTTAGCGAGAATAACTACATTAAGTGTCAAAGCGATATGGCATTTGATGGGTTAGAACCCCCAACTTCCGGCACGATCGGTAACAGTCACTCACACATATAATATCACATATCCACATCTTCATGCTTGCTTAGGGGTTTTTAACATTAAATCTATCAAAACAGTCAGACTGTGAATAGCCCTCTAATCTAATAAGGCTATTCACAGTTGATTGGGTAGGCTTTTTGATGAGAATTACAGAATGATTTTTTTATTAAAAATGTATCAATAATAGCTTGCACACTAGTAAACTAAGCCAATTTAGCATATTTTAACTTTCTGTGCAAAGTCATTATTACTGAAAAAAATTCCAAAGTCAGGTCAGCCTGTGGCACCCTCCACTGAACATGACAGAAGGAAAAAAAAACTTGACCCGTGACCTTCAATAAAACAGAATTTGCTTTTGTTTTTTTTTCATTTTTAGTAAATATGTGCTTAATCTTACCCAATAAGTGATAAAAATTTGAAAATTAATTTTAATTACTGTTGTAAAGTGAGATAAACAGCTTAATAAACATGTGTTTTCTTGAGGGGGTGTGGCACATCCCGACATCGCATTGTTTGTAACTTTATATTTGTGTTTTATGACTATATTTGTTCACAATCAGCATGCTATGCTTTTAATTTTGATAAAGGGTAAGTATACCAAGTTACAAAACCTGAAATCTAACTAATAATTCATACTTTCAGTTTAAAAAAATAATGAAAACGATCATCAATGAAGAAAGCGTAAACATTCTATTTTTAGGTGTGACATAAAAAACAGTCATAAATCTAGCCGAATGATTGGATTCTTGCGCGTCACACATTTTCCCGCGCTTCGTGTTCACCAAAAAAGATTATAATAAAATGGCATTATTATTCTTACAGAGCATATCTCATGCCTACCATAAATTATTACCAGTTTATTGTAACGTGTGTAAAATTAATGCTTTCAAGTAAAAAATAGCAATAGTCTGGTTAAAAATACCTGCGGTATTTTATAGTTATTTGATTCGAAAGATAAGAATTATATAGAGCTACTTTCACTAAGGCGCCGCTTGCGAGACAAACATAGAAATTAGGCCAAAAGTAGATCCGACAATTCTTAAATAACAGACTTAAATAGAAACGGATAGTTCCGATTTCTTAAATTAACGATGGCTTCGTAATCATTAGTTTTATCGCTCTACCCATTAGTGAAAGCGAAACTGGTCGCCATTTTTGGTAAGCGCATGAGCCGTGAGATGGCTTCAAAACAACAAACCCGGAAGCTGTGAATTCGAACGGCCTAGATTGGGAATAGACACTTCGTAGGGTCCTAAGTAAGTAGATCTAGGCCTATATTGAAACATTAAACAATGGTCATACTTGTCACCAAAAGATTTCTTCCACCAGTCAGCAGCATCTCCTTTGGTTATTCTGAAATTTTCTCCAGCAAACGTACCACTTGGGTAGATAGCTTTTAATTCTGCCAGCATATGAGAAAAAACAAGGCTTAATTTTGTGAGATTTCTTCGGTAGTGTGAATTCTCATCATACATTTTATCTTTTCCATCCCTAAATAGTTTAATAGTATTTTTGCACTTATTTAGCAAGTTCTCGATGAAAGTCCTGAAGTATTCACATTCGTTTAATGACTGTAATTTTTCGTCGTGCTTGTTACAAATAGTTCTTAAATGTTGGTATGTGTCAGGCAAAATGTCCAAAATAAACGGGGGACTATTACGTAAGTTCATTTTTGGATGCTGGCACAGTTTTACAACTTTGTCCATCATCTTCCAAGACTTTTCTATTGTCTTCTTGTCAACAACTGCTAATTTTGGCGTAACTAGGACTCCATGTATTTGTCTGAACATAGCACCAAGATTTTTCGCTTGTTTGCTGCCTGACGCCATCTTACTTTTCTTCCTGGTACACCATGTACCGACCATCCGGCGGAACTTGAAGAAATCTGTGACACAAGAACGTGGTAAAGTTAAAAGTGTAGGCGTCACCGCAAAACTAACGCTCTAAAATACCAAATGTTATTAAAATTACTAGATTAATATTATAAAGAAAAACTACTACACCCAGCTGTATTGAACACCGTCATTATTAACTGTGCACAGATTTAATATATATTACTAAGAAAACGATGTGTTTTTTCGCCCTTTAGTTAATTAATGGATAAAAGCGTGTGCATAGATAAGGAGAGGGGTGATACCAATCGCACCCACCTCAGACCAGAGGCGTAGCGGGGGGGGGCATATGTCCCCGGGCGCCGACCTTAGGGGGCGCCAAAATGGGTTGGGAAAACAAATTGAAAGTTTGAGGGAGGGGGTGAGTAAATCAAAAGTTCGAGGGGGGGGGGTGTGCAAATCCCGAAAGTTTGAGGGGGGGGGGGGGGTGCAAATCGAAAGTTTGTCCCCGGGCGCCGGGAAGGGTCGCTACGCCTCTGTCTCAGACAAACTGACAAACATTGTCCTGATTAGGAGTGATAAAATATTTAGTACTTTGACGCATTTCCTGTTTAGAAATAATAAACATCGTATAAATTTAAAACCCTTTTTAGTGCATTATCACATTACTAGCCATCGATACCCGTTTCACGTGAATTATAGGCCTATATATTTTAAAATATTGAACTTGTTTGAGAAAAATAATTTATAAAATAGTTATTGGTCAAAAACGCAATGTGCATTACTACACGCTGTAACATATTGGGATTTGTGAGGTCAGGGGAACTCACTCTTCTTGTATTAGTTATATTTATAATGTTGTTATTGAGTGATGTCCCTTGTATTTATCTATCATTGTTCCTCTTCCGTTTACCAAAAAAAGATGGCTACATGCTGATGGCTTCTGTCTCCGTTGTGTATTCCCAATCTATTATAACTGGCGACGAAGATAAATAATCTACTAGAATGAGCACCTACTTACGCAAAAAAGAGGTTTGCTAGAGCATATTGGCTAAGTATTTCTAGAATAATGGCGCTGTATGGCCAAATAAAAGAATTTGATTCGAATGATGAAATCATTCAAGATTACCTAGATAGGTTAAGCTTTTACCTTGAAGCAAACAACGTGACGATAGAAGCCAAAAAGAGAGCTGTTTTGTTAACAGTCATAGGGCCTCAACAATTTAGGCTATTAAAGGACTTAGATGCGCACCAGCTAGTCTAACTACCAAGAGCTTTAACGAGCTGAGCAAATTGCTAACAGACCACCATGCGCCTACCCCATCAAAGTTTCTATGTAGAGCTAGATTTGACAGTAGGACTCGTCAACCAAACGAGTCAATATCAGAATATGTTGCTGCTTTACGTCATTTAAGTGAATTTTGTGAATTCGGCAATACGCTGTCTGACAGACTATGTGAAAAGTTTGTGACAGGTGTAAACAGCCCTGATGTTCAAAGAAAGTTGCTGCTCGAGTCAGATCTAACATTGGAAAAAGCAATACAACTTGCAACTTCATTCCAGCAGTCATCAGATGCGGCGAGATCTCTAGCACCTTCAGAGATCCATGCAGTAAACAGCAGGTTAGTCAATAAACACCAACCCCATCAGAGCATTCCAACTTATGCTAAACAGCCTGCACGTTTAAAGCCTAGATCTAAATCTAGTAATAATTATCAAAAATGTCATCGATGCAAAGGTCCCCATGCATCTCATCGGTGCAAGTTCAAGTCTGCAACTTGTTATAAGTGCAGTAAGCAAGGTCACATTGCCAAGGCCTGCTTTGCAAAGTCTTCGTCTGTTGCTAAATCTAGCCAGTCAAGACAGTACCGCAACCAAAGGCAGCACTATGTTAACTCTCACCAAGACTACCTAACCCAACCAATGAACCACTCTACCTGTGAAAATGCTCAAACTGATTCGCAGCCGGATTTCAACCTGTTCTCTGTGAAATCAATAAGTCATGCTCCCATCAATGTACTAGTTAATATCAACGGTAAGAGCATCAGCTTCCAACTTGACACTGGAGCATCTCTAACAGTCATCACAAAGAAGGACTTTGACGCTGTCACAGGAGAATCAGTGCCTCTACAACCATGTCACAAGTGTCTAACAACATACACTGGTGACAATGTTCCGGTAATAGGAGAGTGTATGGTTCATGTAAGTTATAATGGTCAAAGTGTTAAACTTCCTCTTCTTGTGGTTGAAGGAAATGGACCACCATTACTAGGTAGGAACTGGTTAAGTGATCTTAAGTTAAATTGGAAGAGTATATGTTCATTGAACAATGCAAGAGAATCTAGTCTTACTTCAATAGATAAAGTAATATCTGAAAATAAATGTGTTTTTGGTAATTCTGGATTACTAAATGATAGAACAGTGAAGATAAGCATTAAAGACACAAATCCAAGAGACTGCAAAGCTAGAGTTCCACCTTATGCAATGAGGAATAAAATTGAAAATGAGCTAAGTAGATTGGAATCTAATGGCATCATAAAGAAGGTAGACTATTCCGATTGGGCAACGCCCATTGTGCCAGTGTTAAAGAAGGATGGTTCTATAAGAATTTGTGGAGACTATAAAACTACACTGAATAAGCAAATAGAGCTAAATAGGTACCCTATACCTAACATTGAGGAAATTTCTTTGAATTTGGCAGGAGGAGACAAATTCACTGAATTAGACTTTAGTCATGCTTACACTCAACTAGAACTGCATCCAGATTCAAAAGTCTATACGACAATAAACACACATAAAGGACTCTACCAATATGAAAGACTATGTTTTGGCATATCATCTAGCCCTGGAATTTTCCAAGCTGTCATGGACAGTATTTTTAAGGATATTCCAAATGTTTGTGTTTACTTTGACAATGTGTACATAACTGGTAAGAATGACACTGAACATCTTAAAACACTAGATAAAGTCTTGAAAATAGTTGGTGAAAAAGGTTTAAAGATAAACAAAGATAAATGTCAATTCATGTTGACAGAAATTAGTTTTCTTGGTTATATATTGAGCAAACAAGGCATCAGACCTCAACCTGAGAAAACAAAAGCCATTAACCATTAATGTCCCATTCATCCTACCAAAACTCCACCCATGACGGCCCAATGTAAGGAGCATAACTCTGTATGATCAAGTGAATAGTTTCACAAAATATTTGTTTTTTTCTAAATGAAATTGAAAATTAAGATAAAAACTACTGCTTAATGTTGGGAATAAACCTGGCTTTCCAACAGTATTAAATAGAATATATTATATTCGGTAAAAGTACAGTAAAAAAATAAAAAATGTCGGAGAAAATTCAAAACAGGTCATTTTCGGTAGTCAACTTTATTTATTTTTGTCTAAACAACTAAGCATTGAATTTAACAGTTAAATATCAATTTGGTTATGTTTAAGATAAATAATTCATAAAATACATGCCTAGATACGTTTAGAGGCATTATTTTATTTTATTTTTAACATTAAATCTACTAAAAAAAGGACAGATGAGTCTAAAATTTCGAGATCGAAAGAAGCTATTATTTTTTATCTTTCAAAAGCGCCATTGAAATTATAAGACCGGAAAAGGATGGTGAAACTATCCGACTTCCTGTTTAGTTAAAAATTAGGATTTGTAGGCCAAATTTTAATGAAACAAATTTAATTTTTCTATGCGTATTTTAAGCGGGCGGCAGCGGGCGTTACGGGACATTAACGGTGTCGGGCGGCAGCGGGCGTTACGGGACATTAATGGTTAAAGAAGCACCCAAACCTGAAAATACCCAACAACTAAGAGATTTTTTGGGCTTGATAAATTACTATGCAAAGTTCATAGGAAATCTGTCTGGTAAACTATCACCACTGTACAAGCTGCTACAGAAAAATGCAACTTGGCACTGGGGTAAACAACAAGATACTGCTTTTAATACAGCAAAAGAGGCTTTGTCTTCTGACACCTTACTAACTCACTATGACCCAGGGAAAAGACTTATATTAACATGTGATGCTTCACCAGATGGTGTAGGAGCAGTCTTATCCCACATAGATGAAAAGGGTGACAGACCCATTGCTTTTGCCAGTAGATCTTTGAACCAGGCTGAGAAAAATTATTCTCAATTAGATAGGGAAGGCTTAGACATCATTTTTGGTGTTAAGAAATTTCATAAGTTTCTGTTTGGTAGGAAGTTCACCATCTTTACAGATCATAAACCATTGCTAGGTTTATTTGGAGAAAACAAAACCCTACCTGAGCATGCCTCACCAAGAATTCAAAGATGGGCTATCACACTAACTGCATACAATTATGAATTGAGATACAAACCTGGATCTGAGAATAGTGCAGATAGTCTTAGTAGATTACCTTTAAAAAACCAAAGCCTTAGCTATATACCAGAAGATGTATTTGTTCTCTTCACTATCATGGATAACTCCAATATAAATGTGAATGATATTAAAAGAGAAACACAAAAAGATGAGTGCTTAATAAAAGTATATGAGTACTGTAAGAATGGTTGGCCTGAAGAGTCTGTGAATGATGACTTAAGACCATATAAAATAAGAAATAAAAACCTTTGTGAAGATAATATAAAAGATGGAGAAGATGCAGTCCATTATCAGTCAGAGTTGCCTAAACAAAGTATTTGTAACTTAATAAATGATTATGGTGATATGGCAATTTCAAATGCTTTTAAAGAGAATACATTAGTAAGAAGGAATGTGATCATCAAACAACTTTGCTAACATCATTAGCACTTACAGAAACTAAAAGGGTAACATCAAAAGAAAAAAGATTTTTGCCATTTAATACACCCACTTCAAATACTGGATCACAGTTGCAAAGTGATATAGTCCAGGATATTACTTTTAAACAGTATTTTTGGTTACCAAAAAGCACTATCAGATTACCTGAGGAAATTGATCAATCAAAGAAATCTATGTCAGTCAAGGATCTGAATAACAGCATAATACTTTCAGATGCCAATTCAAAAATAGTTCCATTAAATCATGACAAACATTCATTGAAAGAGAATTTGGTGTTAATGAGAATGTGTATCTAAGAAATTATGGGAGAAAGGAAAAATGGATACCAGGTCAAATTGTTCAATGTACAGGACCTGTGTGTTATAAAGTAAAAACAAATGATGGACTTATTGTCCATAGACATGCAGACCAGTTAAAAATAACTTGTGCAGATAATAAGTGTGAATCTGTCAATCCCACCAAATCTGATCAGTTCACACCAACTCAGTTTGTTCCACAACCAAGTTCTGTTGATATGAGTGAACCAAGTTGTCTAGAGTCAGAAAATGTAAATTCTGGAGTTAATGATTTAAATCCTAGACCTCCTGAGATAGAGAATCCAAATGGTCAGAATATTGAGTCACCAAATCAAAAGCCACTGAGAAGGTCAAACAGGACAATCAAAGTCCCAAATAAGTTAGACCTATGATTTTAAAGGTCAAAAGGACTTTGACATCATTGTTTGTATTTTAATTGTGTTGTAACATATTGTGCATTGTTTGTAAGGATGTAATCTACCATAGTGTTCATGTTACAATATAATTGGTGATTTTAAGATACTGTAATTTGTTCTATTGAGAGATGTGTTGTGTTTACTAAGGGTAAAGGGATGTAACATATTGGGATTTGTGAGGTCAGGGGAACTCACTCTTCTTGTATTAGTTATATTTATAATGTTGTTATTGAGTGATGTCCCTTGTATTTATCTATCATTGTTCCTCTTCCGTTTACCAAAAAAAGATGGCTACATGCTGATGGCTTCTGTCTCCGTTGTGTATTCCCAATCTATTATACACGCTGAACGATATTACTGACAAATCAAAGAAATAACTAATTAGCTAAAAAATCCGACACATTTAACATAACACAGGCACACACTGGTTAAGTGACTTAAATGATTCCGTTAAAATCTCGGCTATTCCACTGTATTCTTCTTGTTTTTAAAGTGATTTCTTTTTATTAGGTTTTTATGAATAGATCTATAGATTTAAATGAAATAGTTCATTTCATCATCGGTAACCATACCATATTAAATGCACTCGCTGATTAAGAGACTTAAAATTAAGAGACTTCTAAGATTTCTTTAAAAACCCGGCTGTTCAAAGGTAGTTATATTGTTTTTAGTAGATAGTCTAAATCCAGATCTTAGCGTCTACGTCTAGTTTTTCCGTAGATCTAGTTTAGATCTGGAATCGAGATCTAGATCTATATCTACAATTTAAATAGATAAAGTAAAAACTTATAAATGTTTAGGCCGAGAAAATCGTATTGTATACAGATCTGGAATCGAGATCTAGATCTATATCTACAATTTAAATAGATAAAGTAAAAACTTATAAATGTTTAGGCCGAGAAAATCGTATTGTATACATTTCATAGCATACGTAGAATTTAGCTCTAAATCATATTTGAATGAAATAATTCATTTCTTTATTTCATTCTAAACTCGGAAGATGACGTCATCAGTTTCGTGCTCTTTTTTTTTTAGTGTAAACAAAAAGCGACGTCATTGTTAAATGCGTTCTTGTCCCAAGTATAAACATTTCTCTGGTTGCATAATTAAAATTGTTTTTCTACATAAAATTGTGGTTATACATTTAAAACATCTAACATATTATTTTCAACAAAAGTCCGTATAAAGTTCTTCATATATCGCTGCAGATTCTGATGTGATGTCCGGCGAAAATATTTTGCGGACAGAGAGAGAGAGAGAGAGAGAGAGAAGTGCGCACTTGGGCTTTTATATAATAGGATTGGTATAAAAGCTTGTTAAGGATTTTAAAAAAAGTTATATTCATTGGCGGCCTACTTAACTAACACTGACACCACAAATTGTAATTAGTCCTGCATATTGAAGATGGTGAAATTACTTATTGGAGATTCCAGTGCAGTAAAGATGTAGCTAATATATCTGCCTGATAATATTATTCAGCATCTTGTAGCAGACATGTCCGTAGATTTTAATAAAACAAATTTTAAATGAAATCAAGCTTTCACCAACGTTTGCTTTTCAACTCGATGAATCAAAAGACTTGAGTTCATGTTCGCAGTTGCTTGTCTTTGTGAAATAAATGGCGTGCTATATGAAAGCCTTGAGCACTTCACATAATATCTAATAACCAATTAATTAATCATTCAAATTCTCAAACGTTTTTTTTTTAAAACCTAAGCGAAGCTAGGCAGTATGCCTAGTAGATGATAAATAAAAATTCAAATTACATAGAAACAAATTCAAATTTGTGTTTTTAATTGTGATTTGTGTATGTGTTTATGTAACAATCTCTGGTAGAGATTGTTAGTGTTTATATTATTGATGTTTACGTTTGCGCTTGCGTATGCTATTTCGTTTGCCTTTACGTTGATTATGATGTAGACGTTCCGGTTCATGTTCATTTTCAAGTTTAAGTTTGTGTAAGTGGTTGTTATTGTTGTTGTAGTTTGTTAGTGTAAAGTTAAGAGTTAGGTTTAGGATTATGTATATATTTTCTCAAAATATTTGCATATTGACATTTAATTTGACAATAAATATATTTCCAAAACACGGGCAGCGCCAAGTATTAGCTGTCACAAAGCCAGTGCAGGTCGACAAAACATCTGTGCAGTTCGATGAGGGTGAAGGAGATGAAGATGATTTACAATTTACTGCACTCTCTTCCTTCTGCTGGCGTGCGGCCAACTTTCATTCCATATGATAATTCCTCAATTTAGAATTTTCGATGAATATTTTAGAACAATCCGCGAGATATTTTTATATTGAAGCCGCGATAAATGAACCGCGAAGTAGCGACCGATAACTCAATCACTTAGAAATACGAACATAATACAGTGTATGAGTGTATTAAAGTTCGTATTTCTCAGTGACATTGACTGTTATGTTTAATCTTTCTTTTTTTTTTTTGCGATCTGTTGGTATAACTCACATACTATTTATAACCTTTTTTTTTACCTCCGCTTATCCCCGTCAAATTATTCAATCTAGCTAGTTCCAATTTTCATGTAATTTTGAATAAAATTATTCATTAAATGAGAAGTCTTTAAGATATTTTAAAATTCACGCTAACCGCATTTTTAGGCTAATTAACTTCACGTGTGATAGATGGCTAAAATTAATTTAGAGCTTTTCATTCACTTATTTCATTGTCATAAATATTTTTCAATAATAAGTAAATTCCAAATTTTCCGATTTATTATTTAAAAAGTGTGTGATTCAAAATTGCATAGGCCCACCCATTATCCTATGGATAACTGTAGGTCTAGGGGTCATTCATGAATGACGTCAGGTTTGTTTGCCGATTTTTCTTCCCCCCCCCCCCCCCATTATCAAAGCTAACGTCAAAATAATAATCATGAGTTATAACAATTCGCATGCGTTGTTACTTCACACTGTGCATTTTCCATGTAGGAAAATTTAAAAAAATTAAATGTTTAGAACTTACCATGCAATCGCACTGTCAGTAAGGCATATACCATATTGCATAAATATTTTGTTATTTTTGATACACTTCGTTGGAATGGAGGCCATTCTTCGCCATAAAGTATAATTATGCAACGAATTTTTTACATTGAATTCTAACCTAATTTTAATTTAACCTAGATAGACTCTATATAATATTAAAGGGTAAGATTTTCTATATAATATTAAAGGGTAAGATTTTAGGCATAATTTGTTCGAAAACCTAAGCGAAGCTCGGCAAAATGCCTAGTAATATAGACTATATCTATAATATGGATAAAGTTAAATTTGGGTAAAATGGTGGGTTCAAATAATTTTAGCGGATAAATGCAAACATTAAAATAATATAATAATTATTATTATTATATTATTCAAATTCGCATATAAGAACGATAACTCTCGATTTTCTTTTATTGTTGCTTCCCCTGTCATCATGGTTACGTGCTATAAAGGATTGGTAATACACACTACAGATTTTGTGTAGTAGCTGTAGTGTTGCCATTCAATAAAATATAATCTAGATCTATATCAAATTTAATAGTTAATACAGTTATCATGGCTAGTACAACTCAAACTATTCGGCGACAGCTACCGAATCCCTCAAGGACTTACGATTTTCTATACGGTAGGGTAGAAATATTCCTAGAGATGTAATGTAGAATTTAGATCTAGATCTAGTAGTTTATAATTATAATAATACGTTTATTAAAAATATTACTTAGGCAGGTAATCTATCGTTTTAGGTACGTTAAATCGCCTAGTTAGGTACGTTAAATTGACTAGTAATGTGAAAAACAGGTGACTCCTTAAATTTTAATAATTAATTTACATTTTGAGGAGGATTTAAAAATATTTAGAAAAATACAAAAATCTTAAAATGTTTCCTTGTTTATATGTTTCATTTATGTACCTGTTTTTAAACACTTGAATTAAAACTTTTGGTAATCTATCGTTTTGGGTACGTAAAATCGCCCGCGGTTAGTAATGTACGAAAAAGTTACTTCATTGTCAAGGCTTTAATAGAAGTATATATAGTATATATTGTGATATATTTGTATCAAATATTGTAGATAAATGAATAATAAACCTAATAAATCAATCGCAGTGTTTGCAAGCAAGGTTTGCAATATAAACAGTAGCTATTTGTAAAATAGAGTGGCTTCCCCTGAATCTTTCGCTATAAGTTTAACAAAATAATTACTTAAACAAGATATAGATAGTAAATGTGCACATGGTTGCATCTGTTGGAAACATCGCTAGTCTTCATTTATTACTGAAAAGTTTTAATTCAATTGTTTAAAAACAGGTACATAAATGAAACAAGGAAACATTTTTGTATTTTTCAAAATATAAATCCTCCTCAAAATGTGAAATAATTATTAAAATTTAAGGTAAGGAGTCACCTGTTTTTCACATTACTAGTCGCAGGCGATTTTAGGTACCTAAAACGATAGATTACCAAACTTTTCAGTAATAAATGAAGACTAGCGATGTTTCCAACAGATGCAACCATGCTCATTTACTATAGCAGCCATCTTGTTTATTTTTTAAATTGTAAACTTATAGCGCAAGAATCTAGGGAAGCCACTCTAACTTACAGATGGCCGCTTTTTATATAGCGAATCCTGCTTGCAAACACTGCTGTTTAAAGATAATTTCTTGCCTGTATTGATATATTTAGCCATTGATTTAGGTTTATTATTCATTTATCTACAATATTTGACACAAATCTATCATAATATACTTCTATTAAAGCCTTGACAATGAGGTAACTTTTTGCACATTACTAGCCACGGACGATTTTACGCACCTAAAACGATAGATTACCCTAATTTTATTAATTCACTAATATAATAAATATACTATACTTTACTATTACTATAGTGAATAATAGTGTAACAAATGTAAAAAAAAAATTTAGCTTGACTAATACTAATATTACTTGATCTAGTAATAAATACTAGGCCTACTACACTTCACACTAGATCTAGTTAATACTAATAATAGTTATTACCTCAGACAACTAAGGCACTAGCCATAGTCTAACCTCTAATCTCTAAACAATAAATTTTTAAGGTCCCATGTTTATTAAGAGCTAAGGCTATTCCCAGTTGGCTAGTATGCCTTTCCCCAGTCTGCTATCTTTTCCAACAACTGCAAATAATATCATGACTTGACTAAGTCCTCATTACAGAGCCTCAACCATAATCGATTTGTTCTGTCCCATGCAGTGAATTTTTTGCTGTCTCCCAAGCAGTGGTGAAGCTAGGATTTTTGGGCCTCTATGCAAAAATTATCAGTGGGCCCCTTCATCAGCCATTAGGTTACAATGGAGTTCAACAAAGAGATCAACTGCTACTTACGATGGATAGTTTTAAATAATATAAATATTCTGTACATGTATTTATACGTCCTGATTTTGTATTTATACTATATTATTTTATGTAGGCTTACTACAGCTACTAGCCTGTAGTTTTATAAAAATGTTACAGGCTTTCAGTTAACTTATTGTTTTTGTAAGTTACCAAACACAGTAGCATCACAAGGTGGGGGCAGGATTGCTGTACTCATCTGATAACAACAATTATGCCTGACACCTTGATAAAACACTGTAGAAACTGTCAAAACTATGTTGTATCCAGCTAAAATAATAAATGATTAATGAGAGAGGGCTGACATCTATAGTAAACACACAGGGGAACATCCAATCTTGTGATGCCACTAACCAAACACAATTTTTTTAAAATTGTTCATGATTTATTTAGATCTGGGGTTGTTTTTTTGCTTTTTAATTTTGCAAAATGATTAATAGGTTCATTGAGATTTATTTTTGCTGCTTCTATAAGTTATATACTTAGAATGGCCAAGCTATTGACACAATGGGCATATCTACAATTTGTTTAATAAAAAATGAACGTCATCAAAATGATGCAATCAACTGAACCTTTGCACTCAGGTAGCCTCTGGGTAACTCACTGAGACCAACTGTTACTACTGCTGAAGTAGTGGAGGACACTCCTTGTTCGATTTAATAAATGATTTTAGTATCACTCACTATCCCTAGTGTATAGCGGCACTCATTAAAACTAATACTGGGTTACACGTCCGCCGGGGTGCCGGCTAATGTGCCTGTGCAGTTTGACTGTGGGATCAAGTAGTAACGCTGCGCCAAACATTCAGTCAACGGACCCCAGGTGCAAAAATAGCAGCTGGTTAACTCAGTCGCAAATCGCCCCTCCTTACTGCCGGGATCAACCTCCAAAATAAAATAAAAACTTAATGGCAGAAACCTTCCCAAAAGTTTCATGCACCATTTCAGAAAAACGTCTAGAATAAAAACACCGCATGGAGTATTCTCAACGACTTTCCAAAGTTTCTTGGCGATTGGATGAAAACCAAAAACTTATGTTGTTTGTAGTGCCATATTGATTAAAATGGATAAAATTGATTAAATTAGATAAAAAAATGAAGTGTCATTTAAAGTAAAAATTAGTAGAAAACATTGATAAATGTTGGACTTCATTTGTAGTAAAAAACTGTTTATAGTTGTTAATGTCATTTAAAAAAAATAGTTTAGTTGTTATCATTGATGTTTAGAAGGATGAAATTTCAGGTAGGGCAGACAGTTTGGAGGGCGTTGCAGGTCTGGGAGGGGGGGGGGGGGCTTAGGGAATTTCCCAGTCAGTTGAGGGTTTTAGTGATGCATTTAAACTTACCGGTCAAAGTTCAAGTTTATTTATAGGCTAATTCTCTCAATGTTTTGCACAACAAAGTGGCAACACCTTTAGTGTTATTATTACTGATGGGCCCTGTTCGACCCCCCCCCCCCCCCCCCTCCCCCCTGAATCACACTGCCTGTACAGTTAGAAAGGAATAAGGGCCTTTTTATAATTTTTAACCTTTTTCTTTTTTAAATTATTTATATATAACAAATATTAAAATTCATATGAAAAGGTTTTAATTTTTTTTTAAGAGGGAAAAGGGCCCCCTCCCCCCACCCTCCCCCCTATGCTTTGCTTACGGTAGCTACGCCACTGCTCCCAAGACATCCCGCGGCTTTTAGTTCCATGAGAATAATATCTAACTAGAGTAACATCATTTAACACCAGTGCTGACGGAAGTAAATTTAGATAGCAGTGTCAATTTTTATTGCACTATATTTTTTTTTAATAAAATATAGTTCGAATATTTAAGTTTATTTTCATAACTTCTATGTGAACAACCTGTTATAACCATGCACTCTAAATTTTGTTAGAAATTTTAAAATTTATTATGCATTACTTTTGTAGGTCAATGCTATCAAATTATGATTGTTAAGTTAAGAAAATCAAATATCAGGTGAAAATATTATTTATGTTCCAATCACAATTTGTCAGGGACATAAGGGCGCTCTTGGGACCCCCCGATTACAGTGCCGCAGGGCGCTCCATGCGGTCCTTGGCTCCTTAAAACTAACTTATGCGCAATGTTTATTACAGAATAACCCAGGAAGGCTAATAGCACCCTGCCGGGGCACCGGCTGACGTGCTTGATTCAGTTAAGAGAACGCCTTTATTCCCCATTTTATCCATAGTCTGTCGCATTTTTAAAAATCAATGTATGGGCCATAGCACTCAAGGAACAGCCCAGAACTCAAAATTACGGTGTCATACCGCAATTGACTTTTATTTTTTATATACCTTATATAGAGAAGAATCAAAATGCCCCTGCCGTGGCGCAACCCCTGGGAATTTTTGCAGAAACCTCCCCAGGAGTATCTGCAACAACTTTTTAAAGTTTCATGGCAATCAGATGAAAGGTGTAGCAAAGCATAAAAGACAAACTACAAACACACATACATTGGTTTATATATATATATATATATATATATATATATATATATATATATATGTGTGTGTATATATATATATATATAAATTTTGCACCCCACCCCTGTATAAAATTCCATATTCATAAAAGTTTAAAGTTGAAAATATAGTGGTATACTAAATTATTTCAGATAATAATTACATCTTATCTTCTGCACATGACCATGGAAGAGTCACTTTTCAAGCTCATACAAGCACAAACCGAATTGTAAGTCAGAGCTTTCTTACGATTTATACCTTTTATGGCAGTAAGCAATAAAGATGTAATAAAAAGCTGTAATTATACATGTCACTTATGAAACAAGAATTTTTTTAAACCTGGAAGAATACCTGTTAGTATTGTACTGGTCCACTTACTTCTGTGTGTGTTTGTGTGTATATATATATATATATATATATATATATATATATATATATATATATATATATATATATATATATATATATATATATATATATATATATATATATATATATATATATATATATATATAGGGTGTGAATATATTTATACTATGTTGGAATTCTATTTCTGGGGAGCCAATATATCGGGAGCCATATTATCAGGAACCTATATGTCTCAAGTCAGTATGACGGGAGCCCATTTTGATGGGACCCAAAATGTTTTTATTTCAAGGGCTAGAATTAAATCCACAATTTGCAGATGCAACACAAATTTGATATTTTGTTAGGAGATAGCTCTGGTGGCGTAGACACCTGGACAAATACGAGATTCTCAAAAATGTAATGTTAAGATGTTGTGAAGCTCTTGGTTAACTATTAAAGGGACATAACTGGGTCTATGATTTGGATGTTTATTTTCCATTTGTTCTTTACATACACACAAAAGCAAACAAAGAAAGCACTTGGATTTGATAAAAGAAAAACTTCTTTAAAATGAACACTAAAAGGTTTTTAAACTGTTGCAATGAGTAATAAATAATGATTAATAATTAATATTTGCTTCAGAGCAGATGTAAACAAGCAGTTGCTTGCAAACAATGCATTTGCACAAATGGTGTGTTTTCTGTGTCACATGGGTTAGTCACTTTTAAATAGGGCATTGCAAAGTTTATTTTTAAAACTGCTATTGAATTTTTAAGAGGTTATTTAGTACAAAGAGTCCTTGCGAAAACGTGGATAAAGAGAAATGCTAATTGTTTTGACTAAAGGTCATTAACGGATAAATAGATTGGAATAATTAATATTTGTAAAACTTACAAGTAGTTGTTTAATAAAATAAAATAAAAAATATCAAAGCTTATTGTATAGTGTGGTATATAGCAATGCTTTTTTACAAGCTTTTATTTAACTCACTTCCTCGTCATTCTGTCTGTCGTCAGTCTAGATAGAAACGCAGGAGTGAAAATTCGGACAGTTCTACTTGACCGATACGATTCACAGTTGGCACGTGGGTCAAGACATGAAGACAATGCAATCTGAAACTAAATTTGACTTAATTGGATGCCTAATTAATTTTTTATTAATTAATTAAAATTTGGACCGAATCAATAGGCATGTCTATGCCGACCGCACCACACGCGTCATCACGTTCCATAGCTGCGCCATCAAGTTCAGTAGGCGCGCCATCACGTTCAATAGGCGCAATGGTTTTTAGTCATGTAACTCTATTGTGAATAAAACATGTAAAGTACTGAAAAAAAATTCATAAAAAACGTTTTAATAACAAGATTTTATGTACTTATGCACTAAAAAGTAGAAAATAAATTATACACTACTATTTAAATTACTATAAAGAAAAGCGTGGGTCTCTTCTCAAATATTAGTAAAGGTATCCAATAGGTAGTAAAGTACTAAAGTGACCCACGCTTTTCTTTATAGTAATTAAAATAGTAGTGTATAATTTATTTTCTACTTTTTAGTGCATAAGTACATAAAAGCTTGTTATTAAAACGTTTTTTATGAATTTTTTTGACATTGTTTTTAATTAGCTGAACTCCTGCTATTTAGAATAGAATAAAAACTATATTGTAATTTATTTTTATTGCAAAATATATAAGGCTAAAACATTATAACATCACTCTTTAAAATGATGCAATTTCTGCTACATTATTGTGTGTGAGGGGAGTGGGGTTGCAACACCAAGCAATTATTTATAGGTGTTGTGGCCTGATGAGATGTTACATAATGCAACACAATGGGTTGTAGATGGTTAAAACCTTGAGCATGGCATTACTCCCCTCCAGTCAATACCCCCGATCATTTTTCCAACATTATCATGACCAGATCAATTACCCCCTGTCAACTACCTTACCTCCCAGGACCTCACCCGAACCCAAAAAACTGGGTATTAGGGTATTGGTAATGGTACGTTTAAGGGTAAGTATAAGGGTCATGGTCACTGGTAACAGCCTTGGCCATGTTCATGGTCCTTTTCATTTTTGTGGTCATTGTGGTGGTAGTAGTAGTAGAAATAACGGTAATAAAGGTAATGGTATTGGTGATGGTAAGGGGTAAGGATAGGGTATGATAAAGAATAGTGATAGAGTGAAGGTAAAAGATAATAACATTATTTTGGTTAGTAAGAGGGCCAGATATTTGGGATATTTGGGAGATGGATATGGGAAAAGACAAGTAGGTATAGGTATTAGTTTAATATGTATTCTGTAGTGGGGTAAAATTACATCTATATATATAAAGCAGGCGCGTCAAATTTGGCACGATGGTACCTCGGGGCAATAGAGCACGAGGGCCGGTGACGGTTCGCCGAAAAGTCTACGGAGAGGGGGTCAAAACTGACCTCGACTGACTGGCGCCTTATATGGGCTATATTACGAAAAAAAAATTCCGACGACAAAATTTTGTGAGGTGGTAGGAGAACGCCTTGGGGTGTCACAAAAAACTCGGCATATCTGGGAAAACTTCGTAAAGGGGTCAAAAATGACCAGTTGTATTTCCCTATATAATCTTTGTATTTTATGGGAAAAACAGAGGGTCATTTCAACGCAGACTTTAGGGTACTTAAACTCAGTATATCTGGCTAATTTTTTGCATACTCTTGGGTCAATGGCTTGACATTTAGGAAAAACTGTCGGTTTGACTCAAAGCCCTCGACGAGGGCTAAAAAGTGACCGCGAGTGAAATTCTCTTTATATGAGCTCTATTACGAAAAAAAATTTCCTCCGACAACCCCCCTTGATATTTTGTGAGGTAGTAGGAGAACGCCTTGGGGTGTCACAAAAAACTCGGCATGTCTGGGAAAACTTTGTAAAGGGGTCAAAACTGACCAGTTGTATTTCCCTATATAATCTTTGTATTTTATGGGAAAAACAGAGGGTCATTTCAACGCTGATTTTAGGGTACTTAAACTCAGTATATCTGGCTAATTTTTTGCATACTCTTAGGTAAATGGCTTGACCTTTAGGGAAAACTGTCGCTTTGACTCAAAGCCCTCGACGAGGGCTAAAAAGTGACCGCGAGTGAAATTCTCTTTATATGAGCTCTATTACGAAATTTTTTTCCTCCGACGACCCCCCTTGAAATTTTGTGAGGTGGTAGGAGAATGCCTTGGGGTGTCACAAAAAACTCTGCATATCTGGGAAAACTTCGTAAAGGGGTCAAAACTGACCAGTCGTATTTCCCTAAATAATCTTTGTATTTTATGGGAGAAACAGAGGGTAATTTGAAAACGGATTTTTATGGCACTTACCCTCTTTACATCTGGCTAATTTTTGGCATGCTTATAGGTAAATGGCTTGGCCGTAGGACAAACCTGTCTGTTTGACTTAAAGCCCTCGACCTGGGCTTAAAAGTGACCGCGAGTGAAATTCTTTTTATATGAGCTCCATTACGAAAAAAAATTTCCTCAGACGACCCCCCTTGAAATTTTGTGGTAGGAGAACGCCTTGGGGTGTCACAAAAAACTTCAGGGAAAAATCGGGAAATGGGTCAAAACCGAACAGTCGTATTTCCCTATATAATCTTTGTATTTTATGGGAAAGACAGAGGGTAATTTTAACAAAGATTTTAGGGTACTTACTCTTTGTATATCTGGCTAATTTTTTGCATACACCTCTATAGATGACTAGGCCGTATGAAAAACTGTTGGTCAGACTCAAAGCCCTCGAAGAGGGCTAAAAATGACCGCGAGTTATATTCTCATTATAAGAGATTTGGTCATTTTGCCTATGAACAGGGGAGGTAACTTTTTAATGTAATATTTTTTTAAATATTTTGTATACTCTTTAAAAAAAAAATCATAAAGTATAGCATTGTTTTAAATAGATATTTTGATATAAATTAAGTTTTTTATTGTACTGAAATTGTAAAAATTAATTGCAAAAGTAATTTAATATAATATTTGATTGATACTATTAAGAAAGCCCTTTCAGTTCTAATAACCTTGCGAGTAGTAAGTTTGCGATTATTCCATCAATATTTTAGTGAGAAAAAATTACTCCACTGTATAAATTAAGGCCCTAAGCATTTAACATAACAGCCAATCACCTATTAATTAATCATTCAATTTCTCAATGATTTTGAAAACCTAAGCAAAGCTAGGCAGTATGCCTAGTATGGTTAGAATTGACAGGAGGGGGTGGGTAATATCCCAATCCTAAAACAATCACATTTCAGTAAAAATTTAGGTTTAATTTTTTTTAAAAAGACTTTAAGTTTTTATATTATCAGTGATCTGATACTTAAGGATACTGATGGCTTTTATTTTTCAAGTGGAATTATATTCTGTTCTGTGTGTGGGCAATGTTATAATACACTTGATTATATTTATTTTTATTGTTAGGCCTTGCAATTGTTTACTACAGGGGTCTCCAAACTTTTGAGCCTGAGGGCCGCATTAACTATAAAATATCAGTTCGGGGGCCAGAGTTTTTTCCAGGCATCTCTTCTGGGAGGTATAGCCCCCCCCCCCCCCCCTGAAGAATCTCCTCCTCCCCCCCCTCCCCCACGAAATTTAATTTATGTAGAAATATATACAAATTTCAAGTGTCGTCGTCCACCCCCTCCCCCCGGAGAAAAAAGTCTGAAACACTTTCGGGGGCCGACAACACACTCCAGGTCCAAGTTTGTTCTCAAATTGTTCTTCACGTATTTCATTCTTGAAAATGTACGTTCACACAGGTATGTTGTTCCGAAATTTGAAAGGTACTTGGATGCAAAAGTTTTAGGAAAGTCTTCCTTGGTCAAAAACGTTTAAAAAACCCACCCTTCCTTCTATGAACTAGTTTCTAAGGAGGTCATTTGCTTGCAATTCAATGACCTCCAACTGCAGTTCATCTGGGCAACTGGCCACATTAGCTTAAATTGGGTTTTGAAACAGTCTCACTTCTTCTGCCTTTGAATCCAAGTCAGAAAACCGCTACTAAAACTGCAGCTGGAGGTCTTTGATGATCTTGCATGCAAATGACCTGGGAGACAGCTGTTGCTTCAGCTATGAAGACCATGCACTGTTGAAAGTGCGTCCAGTTGTTGGCCTGTACTTGTTCCAAAAACATGACAAGTTTGGATCTGAAGGCCTTTAGGTGGGTGTATAGATCAGAACTAGTTTTCCCTCTCTTGTAGTTTTAGTTTCAGAAAATTTAAATGGCGTGTTATGTTTGCAGCAGAGGCCAATTTCTATACTTTCCATCAGACATTAATGGCAGCGGCTTGCTTTATTTTCCAGGTCACCTATTTCCTTTCTTAACTTAAATACCCTGCTCAGAACTTTCTCACAACCTAGTCATCTTACTGGTAGATCTTGCGATTCTGTGTTTGTATCTTTTAACATGTCTTTGAACTATATATGGTTGAGCCCAAAGGATTCACTACAATACGGAGCATGTCCTTCAGGAATGTTCTTTGTATAGCCAGGTACGAGTCAGACACTGGCCCCTGCCCACCCCACTCAGGGAAAAATTATATGGGGCACCTGCCAAACTGGAGACCACAGTCCGGTTTGTTCACAAAGTTGGACTTGTTGTCTGAACCCTCCACCATATTCTCAATTAAGAATGAAGAAGAAGAAGAAGTATGTCCACATATTAAGCACACAAATATTGCTGGTGAATAATGCTGTGCAGGAACATTGGTTGTAGAATGTATTTTTCATTACACATCTGCTCCGCTTGTCCAACCAAGCCTTTCTTTATGCCACTAATGTTCTTCCTCCATTAACAGTCAGGTAATTGAGGTTATTCCAGTCCAAGTTATAATCAGCAAATGTTTTTTTTTAACTCATTGAATATATCCTCTCTGGTAACAATGTCATAAAAGCCAGCTCTTGTGTTATGTTTATGTCTTCATCCACACCTCTAATAAACACAAGCAGTTGAGAGGTGGAACCGCTGTCCAGAGACTCATCCATTGCAATTGAAAAATTTGCGAAACTTGCTTGCATTTTTCGCTATTTGAGTTTTCATCAATGTCTGCAACACAGTAGTTGCACCCAAAGCTACATTTTCCAATTGTTATGAATTTTCTGGGCAAAGTTCCTCAGCCACCACCAACAAACATTTTTTTCCTTGGACAAATAGATCTCTGCAGGCCGGATGAGAGGACCTCGCGGGCCGCATCCGGCCTGCGGGCCGTAGTTTGGAGACCCCTGGTTTACTATGATGATGTAAAAAGCTATATACAAGATACTATTCTGATAATTTATTTTAGGATCTTTTAATTGTATCACATGGTGCTGTTGCTCACCAGAAGAGGTGAAATTAAATTTTAAAATCTAGTAAAAGTGTATGTGTTGTTGCTTTGAGGAGAGCTTTATGCATTGCTATATATATATATATATATATATATATATATATATATATATATATATATATATATATATACATATATATATATATATATATATATATATATACATATATACATATATATATATATATATATATACATATATATATATATATACATATATATATATACATATATATATATATATATATATATACATATATATATATATATATATATACATATATATATATACATATATATATATATATATATATATATATATATATATATATATATATATATATATATATATATATATATATATATATATATATATATATACATATATATATATATATATACATATATATATATATATATACATATATATATATATATATATACATATATATATATATATACATATATATATATATATATACATATATGTACATATATGTATATATATACATATATATACATATATATATATATATATATATATATATATATATATATATATATATATATATATACATATATATATATATATATATATATACATATATATATATATATATATACATATATATACATATATATATATATATATATATATATATATATATATATATATATATATATATATATATATATATATATATATATACAAATTTCTTTTTTAAATTATAGAAGCAGGTTCCTGTTTTTAAAACAATGTTCTCAGAACTACGACATCATCCTAGATTTCAAGTACACCTTGATGTAACTGATCCAGTACCTAAATTTATTACAAGAGAATGGAAAGGTCACGGAGACTCTATGATCAGATATGCCACGTACGTACATATTAAAAATTGTACTAACCCCTTAACTCTAATAACATTAATACCATTTTTTTTTACCTTGTGCATAGGCACATTTATCCAACTGATGCCATGTGTCGTATGTTGGGTATATAGTATCTGTGAAATTTATGAGGTCACACTCTCTTGACATATGCACATTGAACATTTTTTTCTTCATGAATTTGGCCTACTTGCATCAATTATTTTTACTAAATGGATGATCTGTTTTAACAACAAAAGATACTTATGACTTTATTATTCATTCCTGTAAATCTATAAATAGTATATATCACACATGAGAACAATGAAGACATGAATTGGATGCCTCATAAAGGTGTGATTTCTTGAAGTATGATTATAAATAAGGGTAGGATATACAGTACAATAATAACACAAGAATCGTACTGGTTACATACAGCAGTGCTACTGAGTACCATCAGCAGTGGTATTGAGTAGCCTACCCACTGCAGTTTCAGTGAGTTTACTTGACCTTGGCACTGAGTAACTATAGCATTATCACATCAGTAGCATGTATTGCTATCAGCATTAGCATTATCACATCAGTAGCATGTATTGCTATCAGCATTAGCATTATCACATCAGTAGCATGTATTGCTATCAGCATTAGCATTATCACATCAGTAGCATGTATTGCTATCAGCATTAGCATTATCACATCAGTAGCATGTATTGCTATCAGCATTAGCATTATCACATCAGTAGCATGTATTGCTATCAGCATTAGCATTATCACATCAGTAGCATGTATTGCTATCGTATCAGCATTAGCATTATCACATCAGTAGCATGTATTGCTATCAGCATTAGCATTATCACATCAGTAGCATGTACTGCTATCAGCATTAGCATTATCACATCAGTAGCATGTATTGCTATCAGCATTAGCATTATCACATCAGTAGCATGTACTGCTATCAGCATTAGCATTATCACATCAGTAGCATGTATTGCTATCAGCATTAGCATTATCACATCAGTAGCATGTATTGCTATCAGCATTAGCATTATCACATCAGTAGCATGTATTGCTATCAGCATTAGCATTATCACATCAGTAGCATGTATTGCTATCAGCATTAGCATTATCACATCAGTAGCATGTATTGCTATCAGCATTAGCATTATCACATCAGTAGCATGTAGTGCTATCAGCATTAGCATTGAGTACACACAGCATGGGCACAGAGTACCCACATCAATGCACTGAGTACTTTTAGCAGTTTCATTGAGTAACCATAGCAGTATCATCCGCATACTACAGCAGGACTATGGAGTACCAACAGCATCAGCCGCATTTGATACCCACAACCGTGGCTATGAGTACCTAAAACAACTGCATTAAGCATGGAAGAATATACAACACCAGACCTCTGTCATTTAGAACAGTATTTGTTCATGTGCTTTGTGTGTATAGCAAATATATGTTAAAGGAGAAATATGAGTTCTTATTAGATGACTGTAAATAGGATTTCAAGAAAATAAAGTAACCAGGGCAATACAAATTGAGGAAGTCCTTTCACATGTTCTGTGTTACTTAAAAGTTGTAGAACCATGACAGCAGTGCTTCAAAGTACCCATTTATAAACGTTATACAGTGACAGGTGCAGCAGAGTTTTGTAACTCTTATAAAAATTGCATGAACAACAAAAACTGTAGTTTTCATTAATTTTATAAGTGAGTCTTCATCTCCTTGCATGTCTATATGCTGTAGATTAGTGACATACCCTAATTAGCATAAACATAAGTTCAATGGAAAAAATAACTATGTATCTTGAATTCGGTGTAAGTATGATGGCAGAAAATTAAAAAAAAAAATTTTTTACCTGCTAGGAAAAGAATTTAGGCACTGAGGTGCTTATAGCAATATACAATTATTCAATTGATGATGCAAAACGCTTGTGTATTCTTCCAGATTTAAAAATGATTCCTCAATAAAAGTCTCTGGACAAGAAATGGATAGTGCTGATGTTACAGGCAGAAATCGCTTCTTATATTTAAAGAGGTCTGACTGCTTTATTTGATCGATTATAGGCCTGTATTTGTGTATATGTATTGAAACTATGTGGTGGTGTGGGCTCAAGGTAATGCTCATGTCTGCTAACCTGAAAGTTGAGTTTTGATCCTGGGCTTGAGTATGTAGAACATCCTTTAGTCTACCCAGTTGAGATGGGTACCTGACTCATGATAGGGAAACAATGGTGGCTGGGCATAGTGATGACCGCACTATCCTCCTGTCATTGAAACTGATGAGCTCTACTTCTTCTGCGACATGTGTTTTGGGCATGCATGGGAAAATATGATGATATATTGATAGTATTTTTTGCACCATCAGCATTGGGTTTTTGTCAAGGTTGTTGTCTTGTAAAATATTTTGCCTTGTTTGATGTTAGCAAAATTTTAATCAGTGCATCTAATAATGGAAGAGCAAAATTTTAACAACTGTGGGAATATATTGTAAGGCTTAAGTGTATCCTTTTCATTTTTATAGGCCAATCATACCATTCTTACAGCAGGTCCCTCCTGAAGTTTTGCTGTCTACAGCAAGGTCAGTCTAAGATATAGTTAAACTAGCAGCAAATACCTAGCACTACTTGGGTTGTGGGGACAATATATAATTTCCAAGTCTCTTTAAATATGGATGCATAAAGTTTAAGGCCGTCATTAGGTTTAATAAATCTCCAACATCTGAGACCTAGAGTAACTCTAACTGAACCACTACCTTAAATATAGCTACAGCTCATACTTAGTATATTTTAGGCATTTGGTATTGAACTTGCCTTTAACATGCAACTCATGAACCTGTAAAATAAAAAAAAAATGTAGCTTGAACAAAACTGAAATTTAAAAAAAAACAATATTAACAAAAAACAAATATAAAAAAAAATGTTAGCTTTACAAAGCACTACCTAACTTTATTTATTTTTGTGCTTTAAGTTAACTTTGGTCAGCTATATAACAAAGGTTATTAAATATTAACTTAATCCAAATCATGGTTTGACTTTAAACCCAACATAGAAAAATAATTAGGGGTTGGCATTTTATCATTTGTGGAAGAGCTTGGTGGTTCTACAAATGTATAATATGAGGTGTGTTGATCCCTCATAGTTTTGAATTAAGTTTTAGCTGGCAGCTTAGAAGCTAGACATAAGTATAAATATAGGTTTTAAAGTAAGGTTTTATGTAGTTTGGGTTTAATTTTTGTAAATAGTTTTAGATTTTATGTTACTGTTACATTATTTTTTAAAATGTTTCTTGTTTAAGTCTATATTCTTTTTAGGTCTATATTCTTTTTATGTTTTTGCATACGTTAAGTTTTAATTTAATTTGTTTTGTTGTGTAGATCTAAGTCAAGAATTAGTTTATGATATAGGTATTATAGGAGATTTAGATGTTGGCATAGGAGTTTAGTTTAAGCTTTGGATCAGTTTATATTATGTTCTGATTTTATTTTCAGTTTGGATTTTGGTTTAAGTATAAAGGAACATGTGTATACCTAGATTTTGGCATAGGTTTTAAATTGTGTATAAGACTTTATAAATTAATAATATTTATTACATTATACTTTTTTTAGACAAGATCCCTTAAGTGGACCAGAGAATGTTATAGCCAAACGTTTACAAACGCCAGCAACCAAGACTATAGAAACACAAACTGACTATAGAGATCAAGAGATTCAGACAGATCCCTACACCCCTGAATATGTTGTTCGTCCAGGAGAAGCACCTGAGCTTCTCACTCTTGCAACTTTGTCATTTGGTATTTTTTTTAGTATCAATAACTGCTATACTAAAATACTTTTTGTAACTTTTAGATAAACTGCATTTTAAAAAAAAATCTCTGACACCTTAATAAACATTTTTAAAGTGATATTAGGCCTAGAGTAACTTATTTAGTCAAATAGAAAACTTGTTCTTCATCAAGTGTATTACTATTAATTTAAATGTGCATGCATGCCTTTTCAAAAAATGTTTTCTACTAATAATATTTACCTAAAACTGTGTCTGTAGGTCGTGGCTTACCTGCAGGCTTGGCTGAAGTTGAAATGATTGAACGTGCTAGAGCTAAAAGAGCTTGGGAAGCAAATCTTCCTCCACTTAGTGATACTGCCTCCCTTGAAAAAAGGAGGAAAATGATGGATGAAATGGAAAGGAAAGAGTGGGCATTAAGAGAGCATGAAATAGAAAAGTTAGTTGCACTTTCAATTTACTATTTGTATTAAAAATCAGGATTTTTTTATACAATAGCACTTAAACATTCTATCTATACCAATTTAATTTTGTTGCCCAATTAGAGGTTTTTGTTTGTCAAGTCCAAAGTTCCCATTACCAACTTATACAAATTTTAAAACCTCCCACTGAAACATTTTTCAGGCTTCAGGAGGCAAGACTGGAAGTTTTAAAACAACTTTTGAAGCAAAGAGAAGATAACCACCAGGAATTAAATATCAAGAGACTTGATAAACTTTGGTATAATAATTTTCTAAATAAAATAATTAAGCATAAAAAATCTGTATTTTATTTTATAAAAAGTTTAAAAAGGCACTATTATTATAAACATCTACAAAATAAAATAACTATAGGCCCGTTCCATTTAATATTTTAGAAATTTTGGTTGCTACTTCAGTTTTAATTTTAACCCTTTGAGCCCGACAAGCCGGAAAACCGGTTTCAAAATTAACCCTCTTCAGACGTAGCTTTTTTGGAGAGCAGGTGAATGAGCTAATATGATTTTTATAAATGAAATAAAAATCTCAACATATATATAAGCAAGCTTCTTGATTTGCATAATTTATGCCCAGAAAAATATGACTAAACTAAATTACAATAAATTATATAAAACAGTTTTTTTTTCTCTCTATTGCTAATGTAAATTATTCTAAACACACACAAACATCTATTCAATAAAAAAATAGTAATAAATAGTAAAAAGCAATCTGATTGGCTGATATGGTATTAGTTAGCCAATTGTGTGGCTTCTACTATCACAGCTGACACCCGGCCGATGGATCGGCCGCTCGTCTTTTTCGCTATGAAACAGGCGGCCGATAAATCGGCCCGATCGTCTCAAGAGGGTTAAACATATATGTTCGAAAAGCTGGTTTTCCTGCACGATGATCTAGCATAATAGTCCTAGGGGCTGGTATACCGTCTTATTAAATATGATTAGCGGCTTACTGAATAAAACAGCGCACATGTCTTTTTAGCTTGGGGTTATGATTCTAAAAATAGATTGTCAACAAAAAATATCGGTTATTTTATATTATTTTAATTTTATTATTCGGTTATAATTATTATTATAATAACAGTAAATAGGTTAGTTACTCTAGTTTTGTCATTATGTTTTGTAAGTATATAAAATAATTATCAGTATATAAATATTTTATTAGTGCAAACTTTTGTTGTACAAATAATGTTTTTTTTTTTTTGAAGCAATGCCACTGAAACAAAATACTGAGCCACAGCCATAGACTGTGTTTGTTTTATATACATTGTTATGTTCATACATTGTAAAAAAATAAAGAATTTCCGAATCTTCCTGCATTCTTGTTTGATCCTGAGCCTGGATACCTAATTTGGATTGACTATCTCAAACCATTCAAAAGTTGTAGGCTGTTGGAGAAATCCAAGATGGCGGCCATCCGCCATTTTGGATTTGTAAAAAAACAAAGAATTTCCAAATTTTGCTGAATTGTTGTTTGATACTGAGCCTTGATATCAAATGTGGCTTGATTATCTCAAACAGTTCAAAAGTTATAGGCAAAGTTAGAAGCAGATAAGTGAAAATTGGTTTGGTCCTGGGAGCTCAGAAAATGTGAGGCCCGGGCTCAAAGGGTTAAGCTACATTATTTTTTTAAGTTGGTGGGGTGGTTTATATTATATATATATGTTGATTTTTATATAGGAGGGGGCTTTGTATCGAACAAAGACAATGTCATTGATTTCTTTATTCCTTTGTCATGCAAAAATTTTAAATTCTTTCTTTTAAGCATAAAATAAGGCTTTGCAATTTTTTAATCAAGGTTTAGTAAAAATTTTTATCTCACTTATCATGATTTACTTAAGACATTTTTCTAATGTGGAAGGGTCAGTAGTACTTAGTAATATTATAGAATGAAATTGTTATTTAGCCTTAAATAGAGTAAGTAGGTGGATCAACAATCACAGTATTTTTTGTGCTTGAAAAATATTTACTTAACCTCCCTTTGCATGCATTTTCAAAACAAATTTTTTATTTAGTTTAAGAATTATTAAAACATTTTACACTGTTTATGTGTTGCTAATCAATTGTTCTCAAGTTTATAAATTATAATATAAATCTTTGTATAAATTAGTATAAATAAGAATAGGCTTACCCACTATTGTTGTTCATTCATCTAGATTTTTTAAATTTTTAGGGCAGTTAAACAAAAAAGCAAGGAGGCTAAGATTAAAAAAATTAGAAATGAGCACATCAAAGGTATGTTTTTTTAATTATTTAATTTAGAAAAATAAGTAAAAAAATGCATGAAATAACAAACTACAAAACACACACAAAGATATATATGTACATAGAGAATAAATATATATAATGCATAGATCAACATATAATGAATAAAAACGTACAGAAATATAAACTATTACAGCATTAAGAAAGTTAACTGAAAAAAGATTACGAGTGGAAACAAGTTTCTGTAGAAGTGCTATTATACAAGAATATGCAGATCCTGGATCCCAGACCTATGCACCATTGACAAGAATTGGGGTGTTTTTAGACCATGGATCTGAACAATATCTTGTAAAATCTAGACATTTATCAACATACCAGGTTGGAAAGAAAATAAATTAATATATTTAGTAAATAAATAATTGCTAATAAAAGATATTTTTTATTGGTTTGCTGTTAGATGTTTAATGTTTGAAATAACATGCTTAAAATACAAGCTAAAATTATTATTATTATTTTTTATTGTCATTAGGGACTTCTTGAACTTGAAGCATCATTACCAGATTTTGTGATGAATCCTAGAGTTAAAGCACCCCGACCTGTTACTGTCACTAAAACTGGGTTTATTAAAAGAAAATTCAAAAAAGAAAAAGAGCTTGCAGAGGCCTATGAAGTAATACTTTTAATTTCATTATACATGTAAAGTTTAACACTAGTGTAGTTTACCATATGGTCAGTGGCGTTGCGAGGTCAGGTATATATATATATATATATATATATATATATATATATTTATATATATATATATATATATATATATGTATGATATAATACTAACGATTTTCATCTAACGACGGGTTATAAATACAGTTTGATGCAGTATTTTTGCTCCATCACTAGCAGGTTTACGTCATGGTGTCACCCCCCCCCCTCCCCTGTAGGGATTTGTCAACTTTGTTCTTAACAAACTATTTAACACTCTTATTAATCACTTAATTAAGTGGAATTATTATTTTTTTATATATGTTTTGCTATTTTTTGCCTTTGTGTCACCGCCCCCCTAAATGGTGTCACCAGGTGCTGTCTCCCCCCCCCCCCCCCCTCGCTACGCCTCTGCATCTGGTCTCATTGCAGTCTCATTGCATGCTCCATATAATGTTTTAAGGATTGATTGTTGGGTGGGGTAGGGTCGTGTTTCCTGAATACCTTAATTGAAGTAGGAGAGAAAGTTAAGAATATTCACATAAAAAGTAGAAAAATAGAGGAAGTATGAAGGCTAATTAAAAAATTTGTTTCATAATGTTTTTTTAGTTGAATTATTATGTCAATGAATTTTTTAATTCCTAAAGTTAAATTTAAGTTTTCTATTTCATTCTATTTTTTAATTTCTTTATTTATACATTAACAAAATTTTGAACCTAGTTTTCTAATGTACTGCTTAAGGGTAAACTAACTTATCAAAATGTTAACTGTTTTCTGTTTGACTTTTTTTTTTACTGTTTTCTATTAACCAAATAATATAAATATAACACAGGCAATGAGGAGCATTCGTCTTGAGTCTGAGGTTGTATTGAAAAAAATAATTTTCATTGTTAAAATTTTTATATCTCTTCTTTCATTAACCAATTTTTTTCAAATGAATTATTACTTTATTTTTGTTTAGAAAATTTTACGACAACATTACCATATTAAGGCTATAGTTTCTGTTTAATTTTCTTGTATTTGTGTATACTGATATCATAAATAAAATTGGCGTAACATTTTAGATGAACATTAACATACACATACACACTGAGTAATAATATATGCCCGTTTTATAGCTTATTTTAAAAATAAATTTGCTTTATGCAAACTTTTAAGCGTTATGAAGTTAATTTATAAACAATCAATCAGAATGTTTTATTGATGGAAATGTGTTTTTACTATACAAATCCTTTTACTGGATGTGGTATATAATATTTTTATTTCATAGTAGCTCTATATTGGCTAGAAGTAACTTAAATGAACTTTTCTTATTTTTCTTCTGTCTATAAGAAATTTTCTGTTTCTAATATCAAAGTATGGATTAGGTTATGCTTTATTTTGAAGTGGAGTTTCAAAAA